GACCATCCAAGTCAAAACCCTGCATTCGCTTCGAAGGAATGAGTGCACGACGAGCGGCGACGGCGCAGCTGAGGCTTCGGCGAAGGAGCGCAGGACGTCTGTGGCACGCGTGAACAGAGCCAACTGGCCGCGGGGTCGTCTGTGGGCTGGCGCGGCTGAAGGCATACCTTGATCGCCCGAATCGCCAGCACCACGAAACACGAACCACACCACAAGCTCCACCGAAAGCCCCAGTGGCAGGGTTCGCATGGCGGCCCCGCCCCATTTCGGCACACCCCTTGCACGCTTCGTGGCCCCATAGGGAGCTCCACCGAAGGCCGCAGTGGCAGGCTTTGCATGGTGGCGCCGCCCCATTTCGGCACACCCCTCACATGCTTCGTGGCCCCATAGGGAGCTCCACTGCAGGCCTCAACGGAAGGCCTCGCACGGCGGCGTCGCCTCGGTTTCGGCACACCCCTCACACGCCTCGCGGCCCCATATACCTATACGGCCACCCTTCGGGTGATACGGAGGTTCGGGGGGGGAGGAACCAACGTCTCACTCGATCGGTCTCACTATCGATCTCACTATCGATCTGACTATCGGTCTCGCTCGATTGATCTCACTCGATCGATCTCATGATCGATCCCACTCGATCTTTTTCATGCGATCGATCTCACAATCGATCTGACTATCGATCTCACAGTCGATCTCACTATCGATCTCACAATCGATCTCACATTCGGTCTCACTATCGATCTCACTACCGATATCACAATCGATCTCACAGTCAACGTCATCATCATCAACATAATCGTCATCAACGCCATCAACATCATCATCATCATCATCATCGGCACACCATCATCATCATCACCTCATGACCATCCTCATCATCATCATCATCGGGGCACCATCCTCGTCACCATCATCAACATCATCATCATCGGGACACCATCATCATCACCATCAGCATCGGAACACCATCATCAGCATCATCATCTCATCACCATCATGAACTACATCATCAACATCATCATCATCATCGGCACACCATCATCATCATCATCATCATCATCATCATCATCATCATCGGGACACCATCATCATCGTCACCATCATCATCATCACCATCATCATAATCATCGGGACTCCATCATCATCAACTTCATCATCATCATCGGGTCATCATCATCAAAATCACCATCATCACCTCATCATCACCCTCATAATCAACATCATCATCATCATCATCATCGGGACCCCATCATCGTCATCATCATCATCAACATCAGCATCCTTATCATCGGGACACCATCATCATCACCATCATCATGATCAACAACATCATCAACCTCATCATCACCATCATCATCGGGTCACAATCATCATCATCATCTTCATCGTCTTCATCAGCATCATCATCATCTCATCATTTCATCATCATGAACATCATCAGGATCATCAACATCATCACCATCATCATCGGAGCACCATCATCATCAGCAACATCAGCATCATCAACATCATCATCATCGGGACACCATCATCATCACCACCATGGCCATCATCATCACCATCATCATCCTCACCAACATCCCCATCATCATCATCATCATCATCATCATCATCATCATCATCATCATCATCGGGATACCATCTTCATCACCAACATCCCCATCATCATCATCATCATCATCATCATCGACATCATCATCCACATCATCATCATCATCATCATCATCATCGAAATCATCATCATCATCATCATCATCATCATTATCATCATCATCGTCATCGGGACACCGACGGGACACCGGCGGGACACCAGCGGGACACCGCGCGGCACCGGACGCCGGAAGGGAGCCATTTGGTCCGACCGCGCCTCAGCCGGAGGCGGGACACCAGTGGGACACCACGCGGCACCGGTTGCCAGAAGGGAGTCATTTGGTCCGGCCGCGCATCAGCCACAGAAGACTTTCCTCTCGCCCGCCCACGCAGCTTCGCCTCGCCCGCACGCACGGCACGCACGAACACGAAACCGAAATTGATTTCCCGGTAGGGGGGCTCTCTGTTCCACTTCGATCTCACCCCCTCACCTCCGATAGAGCTTCACCGAACGCCCATGTGGCAGGCTTCGTATGCCTTCCTCTGCCTATTTTGACACACCCTTCGCAGCAGCTCCCGCATGCGTCCCCCAGCCCACTTCGGCACACCCCGCACACGCTTCGGGGTTCCCATCCGCGTTGTCCCGTGCTCCATCCCTCTCGCGGCGCGCTGCCAATGATGAGGAGGTAATATCCTTTGATATTCGCAGCTGCATATAGTTGGGTCCTTCGCCAAGCAAAATTTTAAGCTGATAGGAATTGGCGAAACCTTGAAACATCTCAATTGCGAACGCATTTTTTGACAAACCAATGGAAGAGAAAGTTACGTTCACGCAGCCTAAGGCACATTTCAATGGCGGTATGACACAAAACGCATTAGCGGCAACACTATTGAACGACGAGGTGACGGTCTTGGACGCCACCAACGGTATCGACCCGCTGCAGGTCGACATGTGACTCGACGGAGGCGGGTGATGGCATCCGCTGCTTTCTTCCTCCTCTCGCTCACACTCCTTCTTGGCATCGGAATGCCGTTTCCACACGATGATGATTGATAGAATTACCAGTCTTGCTATAGTTATAAATACTCGTGTTCATATCATTATTGAGGGTCGGAGTACTAGGAATAGTAATCATCCCAGCGGTAATGCTAGCAGTCGTAGTCGTAGTGGTAGTAATAGTGCGTAGTAGTAGTAGTAGTAGTAGTAGTAGTAGTAGCAGCAATCGTAGTAGTAGTAGTAGTAGTAGTAGTAGTAGTAGTAGTAGTAGTAGTAGTAGTGATACAACTAGTACGACGACTACTACTACCTGCTATTGTTACTACTACAAAAAAAGTAATCGTAGCAGTAGGCGTAGTAGTGATACTAGTAGTAGGAGTAGTGGTAGTATCAGTAGTAGTAGTAGTAGTAGTAGTAGTAGTAGTAGTAGTAGTAACAATGGAAGTGGTAGTAGTAGTAGTAGTAGTAGTAGTAGTAGTAGTAGTAGTAGTAGTAGTCGTAGTCGTAGTAGTAGTAGTAGTAGTAGTAGTAGTAGTAGTAGTAGTAGTAGTAGTAGTAGTAGTTAGTAGTAGTCGTAGTAGTAGTAGTAGTAGTAGTAGTAGTAGTAGTAGTAGTAGTAGTAGTAGTAGTAGTAGTAGTAGTAGTAGTAGTAGTAGTAGTAGTAGTAGTAGTAGTAGTAGTAGTAGTAGTAGTAGTAGTAGTAGTAGTAGTAGTAGTAGTAGTAGTAGTAGTAGTAGTAGTAGTAGTAGTCGTAGTCGTAGTCGTAGTAGTAGTAGTAGTAGTAGTAGTAGTAGTAGTAGTAGTAGTAGTAGTAGTAGTAGTAGTAGTAGTAGTAGTAGTAGTAGTAGTAGTAGTAGTAGTCAGTAGTAGTAGTAGTAGTAGTAGTAGTAGTAGTAGTAGTAGTAGTAGTAGTAGTAGTAGTAGTAGTAGTAGTAGTAGTAGTAGTAGTAGTAGTAGTAGTAGTAGAGTAGTAGTAGTAGTAGTAGTAGTAGTAGTAGTAGTAGTAGTAGTAGTAGTAGTAGTAGTAGTAGTAGTAGTAGTAGTAGTAGTAATAGTAATCGTAGTTGTAGTAGTAGTAGTAGTAATAATCGTAGTAGTAGTCGTCGTCGTAGGTAGGTAGGTAGGTAGGTAGGTAGGTAGGTAGGTAGGTAGGTAGGTAGGTCGGTAGGTAGTAGTAGTAGTAGTAGCAGTAGTAGTAGTGGTCGTAGTAGTAGTAGTAGTAGTAATATTATTATTATTATTATTAGTAGTAGTAGTAGTAGTAATCGTAGTAGCAATAGTAGTAGTAGTAGTAGTAGTAGTAAGAAGAAGAGGAGGAGTAGACAGTAGTAGTAGTAGTAGTAGTAGTAGTAGTAGTAGTAGTAGTAGTAGTGGTACTAGTAGTAGTAGTAGTAGTAGTAGTAGTAGTAGTAGTAGTAGTCGTAGTAGTAGTAGTAGTAGTAGTAGTAGTAGTCGTAGTAGTAGTAGTAGTAGTAGTAGTAGTAGTAGTAGTAGTAGTAGCAGTAGTCGTGTTTTCATTGTTCTTCTTTTTAATCACTACTTGAAGTACAAGGTGTATCCTTACTATTATAATTGTTATTCCTGCTTCTACTACGGCGACTACTACTGCGACTATGGTTTATTGTTTAAATACTCATTTTATCATGTGTATATATGTGTATATATATATTATTTATATGATTATTACTATTGCTATTGTTGTTAATACTATTATTATTATTGTTCTTGTTCATGGTTTGTGCCAGGCCACTTTGGGTCGACCTGGGGACTCCCTCCCAGGGCAGACGAATCCCAAACGCCAGGGGCGTTCTGGACTTCGGCGTTGGTTTCCAACACCACATGGACCGCTCAGCCTTGACCGACCGCAGCCTTCCGACAGCGCGGATCGTTCGATGCGAGCCGATCCTGAGCCGCTGGCGGCGTTCCACCTCAAACGCCCTGGCTGGGGTCGACCCTGGCGTTGGTTCATGATACCACGGGGATCATTCAACCTTGAACGATCGGCTGTTTCAGAAGCGCCGGGTCCTTCAAAGATGCGCAAAGGTCTGGGCCACGGGCGCCGTTCAACCTTGAACGCCCGCGCTGGGATCGCCGCTGGTCGACACGACAGGGACCTGCCGTAAGCAAATTCCCCTGCGGGCGAGCGATTCTCCGCCACTGGGTCAATCGGCGGTGGACAGACCTCCCTTTAGTAGTTAAACCCCCCTTTGGTGAAAACGGCCTGGGACCGAAACCGACGGACCTGGACCCGCAAAAATGACAGCCGCGACGCCCTCTCGCGAACCGAAAACAGCCAATTCGCTAATCGACGAGTCAGGATAGGAGGTCTATCAACCTCCGAGTCAAGGACGTCTTGCACTGCAATGCGGCAGTATCCGCCAGATGACAGCACGCCGAAACGATCACCACAGATTTTGTCTTTTCCCGTGGAAGTGGGACGAACCAATAATAGAGGCAATGACAAACGTGCGACGGCCCTTGGCTCGGGCAGCGGGCGAAGGGAGAGGGCGAGATAGGAGAGGACGAGAGGGACTGACACGGAGGAGGAGGAGGAGGAGGAGGAGGAGGAGGAGGAGGAGGAGGAGGGCAATTGAACCTGGAGCGAAACAACATCAAGCAAGCACGCACTCTAGCTGCAGCCCTCTGGGAGACTTCCTGCTCCACAGGTCCAGTCTCTGCTTGGCCTGTGCTCGGGGAGCCTAGAAGAAGTGTGTCCGATCGCGCCTGCTCCACAGACCAACCAGTCTTTGAGCCTTCCTGCTGCACACGGCCCGACTCCTCGGATTGTGCTTGGAAGGCTGGAACCCAGGTGTCCAGGCACGCCCGTTTCACAGACCTGCAGGTCCAGTCGCTGCTTGGACTATGCTCAGAGGGCCCAGGAAAAACGTGTCCGACCGCGCCCGCCCCACGGGTCGCCCAGCCCTTTGAGACTTCCTGCTCCACAGGGTCTGTCTCGCTTAGGAGTGTGCTCGAGGAGGAGGAGGAGGAGGAGGAGGAGGAGGAAGAGGAGGAGGAGGAGGAGGAGGGGGAGGAAGGCGTCCAGTCACGCCCGCTCCACATCCCGTCTGGTGTAGATCATGCTGCCGCGAGCTTCGCAGGGCAATTCTTAGTCCAAGCATGCGTGATACCACTAGGGTTGCGAAGCGTACCGTGGCATGGACGGCCCGAGCGTCAGGCATACGGAGAGCAAGAGGCAGGCTGGCGTGCGATGGGCGAGCAAGAGCAGTGCCGCGTGGCCCTGGAGAACGAGGACGCGAACAGTGTGCACAAAACCTCGATGACCCGGAAGGTCAGGCACATCCTGGCAGAAGTCCTGAGGAGGGGGGCGGGCGAGTGGGAGAGGAAGCGCAGCAGGAATGATCAGGATGAGGCGGCGAAGTGAAGGAGAGAGGGAGGGCTCCCGAGAAAAGAGAAGCCACCAGAATACACGTGCCTGCCTCTCTTTCTGTGCCCGTTCGTCTCTGCCTGCGTCAGGCACCACTCCACTGCGCCTCGACCGTCAGCCGTAGCTGAGCCAACAAGGTATAGAGACGGAGGCGTGCGAGGGACAAGGGGATTAACGAGAGGGTAAAGTGTGCAGGAGGGCGCCAACTATACACCTACTACACCGACCCTGGCTAGGCCCATCCTGGGCACACGATGTGTGTATGCACCCTCCTGGCTTCGTAGGCACCTCAAACAAGGCATTGGCCTGCCAGCAAGTGTCCCGCCGAATTTTCTATCCCTCGATGGCCCAGGGACCCACAGAAGCTCTGGGGCACCCCTAGGACCGTCAACGACCGACGAAGAATATGCCCCAGGATCTCCTGCAGCAGAAGCTCCTATCTGGCGCGCCTGCTGCACACCGAGCCCTGGGGCTCAGGACCGGCATGGCCATGACCAATGCAGCAGGTGCCATGAGGCAGCGCCCCCGAGACGGAGACCAAAGCCTAGCTCACGGCAGTGTTGCTTTGACGGTGCTGTCGGGAACCAATAACTGTAGGGCGTCGCGATCCGCACCTCCCTGCAGTTCCAGTCTGCGCGCGGATGGAGCGAGCACGCCGCAGCGAGCTGCAGGAGAGCGCCATCCACGCGTGCCCAGCCCACTGCCACCTGCTGTGCCGCCGGCCCGCCTGCGCCGAGAGAGGGGGCCGAGGCGGGGACCGAGGAGCTCACACCCTGCGCCCTGCCTGCTCGGCGCTTCCCCCGCTGCTGCCCGACAGCCTGCGGCCCGCCTGCGCCGCCGCCGTCTCCTCCGCGTCGGACAGCAGCTGGCGCAGCGCGCCCGCGCGGCCCACGTCGGCCGGTGGGCCCCCGCCGAAGGCGCCGACTGCCGCGTGGCCCTGCAGCGCGGGCGAGCAGGCGCCCGCGGCCGCGCCGAGGGCGGCCAGCTGCCGGCCCAGAGCCGCCACCGTGGCGCTCAGGGCGGCGACCTCGCGCCGGAGCTCCTCGTCGGAGGGCTCCCCGCCGCCGCCCTCCGGCGCCTCCTGCGGGCCGCCAGGGGCGCCAGCGGCGGGCGCTCCGCTCGGCTGGTGGGCACGGGGCTCGTCGGGAGCTCGGAGCAGGGCCCGTCGAGGCAACGGCGGTCCTCCCTCTAGTCTTACGTCCTCTCCAGGCCTCCTCCCCCTCCTCCTCCTCCTCCTCCTCCTCCTCCTCCTCCTCCTCCTCCTCCTCCTCCTCCTCCTCCCCCTCCTCATCCTCCTCTCCCCCTCCTCATCCGCCGCCACGGCTGAATCCGCTCCGAAAGACGGATCAGGACGGACCCTGGGAAGGGTCCGGAGGTTGAGTTGGAGCAGATTGGGACTGGGCGGAGGAGCCGCCGTTGTCCCAACTGGCCCTCCTGCAGGGAGGCCTCTCGAGCGGGCGTGCTTTCCCCGGCTCACCCGCAATCTCACCGGGCGGAGCCGCGTTCGCCTCGTCGGGAGAAGTCGACGGCGTGTTGTCCGCTGGCCGTCCGTGAGTACTCGAGGGAGGATGGTCCTGCGAGTACATCTTGAACGGGGAATTGGGGAAGGCGTAGCTCTTCGTGGGGGACAGATTTCGTACCACGCGCTGTGCCAGGCACTCGCGCATCACCGATTCGGAGATCACAGTGATCTTGTTCGGGTCGGTCCCAAAGCTGCCGTCGTCGAAGCGGTGCGCCATGAAGTCGAGCCCGATGAGCTCGGACGCTCGGCTGCAGCGGAAACCGAACACCGCGTCGATGACAACCACGGCCACGTAGACGGAGACCGTTGCAAACCCGGTGAGCGCCAGGAGGCCCGCGAACTGTATGCCCAGGAGCTCCACGGCCTCCGCCCCGCCACCGAAGGCCAGGCCGCGCAGGGAGCTGTGGCAGTGTGGGCGCGCCCAGAGCGCAACGCTCACCACTCCCCACACGGCCGGCGGGCCGTGGGCCGCCGCCGCGCCGACGACGTCGTCGATCTGGTGCTCGTTGAGCCACCACTGGAACCAGAGCGCCAGCAGGCCGGCCAAGAAGCCCACCAGCACCCCTATCAGCGGCGGCAGAACATTGCAGCATGCACAGCTCGACACCATGCTGCCCAGCACGGCAGTCGTCAGGTCTGGAACGCTCACGACCAGTGATCGCGTGCGGACCAAGGAGGCCGCGAAGCATGCCAGTGAGCCACCAGCGGTCATGAGAAGCGTGACCACCGTGGTCCTCGCACCTAACAGGTCACTGCCTTTAATGGTGGAAAAAGTGGCCGCAGGATTGAATGCAAGGAAGCCGGTGATCAGAAGGAAAATTCCGAAGAGGAGCTGCACAGGATTGCTGACCGCCTTGATGTGTGCATAGATGGCTCGTTCGGCGCCCTCACATGGCATCTCGTAGTACTCTTTCTCGTTGTGCTCGGCGAACACCTTTCGCGAAATTCCTTTCCAGGGTCGGAACTGCGGGTATTTTCCTATCCGCGGCCCGCATATGCAGACGGCAACGCAGGCGCTGACTGCGCCCACCAAGTGCACAATCGAGGAACCCGCAAAATCAGTGTAGCCCCAATCATTCAACCAACCGCCACCCCAAGTCCACCGAACGGCCACTGGGTAGATGATGCCCGTTATCATGGTCGACAACAGCAGGTACGGTATGAAAGCAACCCGGCCTGCCAGTGCCCCGCTGCTGATTGTTGCGGAGGTGGTCGCGTAGGCAAAGTGGAGGAACCAAAGCGCGAAGTCAAAATGACTGCTCCCGTCGAGCTGACTTTGGCGCCCGAAGGCTATTTCGTAGCCGAAGAGGTAGAAGACAAGAGCTCCGAGTAACAAATCCAAGAGATTCTTCATCATGATGTTCGCCGAATTCATGGGCCGGGCGTATGCTGACTCCAGCATCGCGAAACCTGTCTGCATAGAGAGAATCCGACCAGCCATGAGCAGTAGATCGGCCAGGCCCTCCCATGGGGCCGCCCCGTTGTGAGGACCCATGTGCTCCAGGAATCTCGCCACCCGAGGCCGCACAGACAACGCCAGGGACTCCAGAGATGCCCTCGGAACGCTCCCGAAGGCCCCGAAGCGGCCGCCATAATTGGCTCCACAGAGGTGCCCTGCATTGCTCAACATAATTTTAGCACCCAGAGATGCGTGCTCTTCTTCTGTAGTGTGTGCGGGCGCGGCCGGAGGGAGCCGCAGGCGTGCAGACCCGCCGAAGGCTGTGGCCTTTCCCCAGGTGAGCGACGATCAAAAAAAGGGTCTTGCGCGAGATGGCACAGCGACCTCACGTGGCGGCATACGCGGGCCGCTGGCGCGGCATGCCACATCGGAGACGGGGGCACTTCTGCGCGACCTTGCGCGGACAGCTTGCGCGCCAATGTCGGCGCAGTCCACCCCGTTTGCTTTCGTCGCTCAGGTGGCTGACGCGTGCCAGCCTATCTCAATCTCCGCGGGGCCCCCACCGCCCGCCTCCATGTCCGAGCAACGGGGGGCCGGAGCTGGCCAGAAGGCTGCCTCCAAGATCGGCGGCTTCAAAGGCGGGGCCCTGGGCCCTGAGGATGGGAAGGGAGGAGGGCGTTCCACGGGCGTTCGCCCTGGGAACATCCCACAAGACGTCGGAACTTGGAGGACCTCCCCCCGAACATCCCGCGCGCCTGGTCCCCCCCCCTCCCCTAGCCCTCCCCTCCCTGATTCACATGTGGGGGATTTCAAGTTCTCCTCCCTCCTACCCCCTTGATTCACGTGGGGGGTTCCACTCCTCTCCTGCTCGCTGCTGGCTCAACAAACAACGACGGCAGGCGCTGGCAAACGATGACCGACGACTCACGACGACCGACGACGACGACGGCGACGACCGACGGTGACTGACGACGACCGACGACGACCGACGAACACGACGACAACGATGACGAAGAAGACGCGGGCGGGCGGGCGGAACCAGACGGGCGGTTCGGGTCGGGCGGGCTCTAACGGGCGGTCGGGGTCGGGCGAGCGGGCCCTAACGGGAGGATCGGGACACTAAAGTACGGTGCATATTCGAGTTGGCAAGTGAGGGCCCGTGTTCGGTTGCCGTCGTCGTCGTCGTCGCCGTCGTTGTTTGCCAGCGCCAGCGCCCACCGTCGTCGATTGCTGGGGGGGGGAGCGTCGTCGTCGTAGTCGTCAGCGGTGGTTGCCGTCGTCGTCGTTTGTCGTCGTCGCCGTCGCCGTCGTGGTCGTCGTCGTCGTCGTCGTCGTCGTCGTCGTCGCCATCGTTGTTTGCAGGCGTCGAATACAAGGGGGGAGGGGGCGACCCCCTCCCCCCTACAAGCGGCCACAGAAAACGCTCTTTCAAAGGAAGGGATCCCAAATTGATCTTATCATGATTGAGGCCTCTCGTCCTTAGGGCCCAATCCCTCAGGGCCCTCTTCGAACAAGCGACAATAAGGTTGGACCTGTCACCACCGGCCTGAAAGATGCTCCTGGGCGGCCGAAAATACCCCAGAACGCTTCCACAGGAACCCCCCAGAACTGAGGATCTCGAGAAAGGTGCTAAATCCTTCGACGATATGGTGGGCTTCCATAGGTCCGTGTCGCGTCGCCCTTGTCGGGCCCAAGCTCAACATTGCCGAACATGGCCCCGGACATTGCCTGAGACGACCAAGCGCGGACCAACATGGCCTCCGTGTCAACCCAGTGCGTGTCAAATGTTCATTGGAAATGCCACAACAAATCGACCCCTAGACAGCGCAAGAGGGGCCAAGATCGCTTCCAATATTGCTGGACGCGGGCCAGTATTGCCTCCACGGTAACCCAAGATGTCTCCAAGGCGGCTCACATGCTTCAATACTGTCTGCAGGAGGTCCCATCACTCCCTGCCAACTGCCCACAGTGTGGTAAAGGTTCTAGTCCGAGAGTGATTTGAAGCAATTCTGTGCTAGATTCGGGCCGACTTGACAGCAAAACAGCACATAATATGCGAACTTAGACTTTGACTTCGCTTCGTGTTATTGCAATGGATCTCTGCGCCTTTTCTAGCCGAGTCACTGCTCAGACGGATCCGAGTGCTGTCGCGCGTTCAAAAGACAGGGGCGGCGGTCATTTGCCGGAGGCACTTTCGATACACTGTGTCCGCGCGGTGCCGGATGGACTCGGCCTTGCATCCAAGTGCTGATGTGTCTTGCATGCTGGCGATCCATGACTCGTCCCGCTCCATTGCGGCAGCGGCCGCGCAAGGCGCGGGCTTCCAGCCTGCGCGCCCGGAAGCCTCCCCCGCCCCGCCGCAGCGCAGATGAGACCTGAGCTAGAATGCCTCCAGATGGCCGCTTCCGGAAACCCTGAACCCAAAAAGGATGACGATAACGACGACGACGATGCCGATGAGGATGAGGATGACGACATCGTCATCGTCATCGTCATTGTCATCGCCGTCCCTTGGGAGGCAGATGCTTGCTTCCGCCGCCGGACGCCGCCCTTCCGCCGAGGAGGAGATGGCAGCTCCTGGGGCCCTCCAGGGCGGGGCCTTTTCTGGGGCGCCTCAGGCGGCCACCTGCGAGGGGAGGGCGGTGGGGCTGGCGTGCCAGCCGGCGCGCTCGACCTGGCCGTCGGCGCGCCCCGGGCCCCTGGGCCGCGGGGGCGAGGGGGCCCACCCGCCCTCGGGACGTGGCCGGGCGCTGGCTGTGCGCGCGGGCTCCAGGAGCATCATAGAGCATGCTCATATGCTCTGGAAGGTCCGCGCGGGCCGCCCCCCACGTGTGCGTCTTCCCCCCCCCCCCCCCCCCGAAAAGGCATCAGGGTGACTTACAGCACGTTCTGAAATGAAGCGATGATCGTCCAGCATCAGACAGATCCGCTTCCCCTCGTGGGGGCTATAAACGCAACCATTGGATACAGGCTGAAACTCGATAGCAGCCGTGACTTGAAGCGACCGGCCGGGTAGACGTCACCACTACCTGTCTTTGTCTGCCTGCCCTGCCCAGCCCTTTCCCTTCTCCGCCCCCTCGCCCCGCCACGCCCAAGGAAGGAAACGAAGCCGGGGCCAGGACAGAATCCCGACCGGGACAGATCGGGGATTTCTGAGGCCTGGCGGGTCACGTGTCGGGCGCAGAGGCCGTGCCGCCGTGCCAGAGCGTGCCAGAACGCTGTGGCTTTATCCCGGTCCTAGCCCCGCCCGGCGGCAGCTCTGCAGGCACAGTATCCGCTTCAGCACCGCCCGTGGGGTCCCGAACACAGACAGCACGGAAAAACAAAAAATGGCCAATCGGCAAGAGCATTGCTGTGGCCAGGCGCGCGCGCGCAGAAGCACACGGCCTCGCCTGGGCCGCGTGACTCTATGCACGGCCACGCTGAGAACCTGCCAGGGAAGTGCTCCCCCCCCTCCATCTTCCTACTTCTCTTCCTCCTCCTCCACCGCCTCCTCCTGCTCCTCCTGCTCCCCCTCCCCAGAGCGGAGACCTCGGCAGCAGTTCGAGTGACGACGACAGCATGCGCGTGCGTACTCTACGGCACCTGCCAGTGCCATTAGTTGCTGTTCGTGCAGTGCAAGGCGAAACAGCGGGGCGCCTGAGGGAGCCCTTCTTGGCCCACAAAGAGGAAGAGGACGAGGAGGAGAAGCTTGGACAAACCTCGTCGCCGTCGTCCTCCCTCCCTCCCTCCTTCCTCGTCTTTCTCTGGAGCTCGAGCGGAAGATGGAGACGGGGTTGGTGACGCTTGGCCTGGACACGCCCGGAAGTCACATTGCCCCCTGGCGGCCCCGGCCCCGGCGGCCCTAGTTCTTCCAGGGAGACCCCCTCGGCCTCCAGAGCTCCCCTCACGAGAAGATCCCAGGGGGCCCCAAATCCGCCGACCCCGCTTGGGTGGGGCGACGAGCTCGTCACCGCAACGCTGGGGCCCTCGGAGCCTCCAAACGTCCACCCTCCGTGACCGCCAAGATGCCCCGAATGCCTTCTCATATGGCTTCGGAAGAGCTCTAACGCGCTGGAGGGGCCTCGAGAACACCCCGAGCGAAGACGGGGAGCACGGAGGCCTGACGCCTCCACTGCGAGGCCCAGGGCCTGGTCGACACCTCCGTGCGCGGTTGACCACGGCACACGCCCAATACGGTGTGGAGACCGGCTGGTGCTGCAGGCAGCGCCCGAGTGTATCCAGCTTCCCGGTGCCCCCACCTCCTCTCGTCGTGAACGAAGCACGACGGACGATTTTTCCAATGTTGTCGGCCTCCCAGCGGCCGTCAAAGAACGGCCCAGTGTGAAAAGCTGTCCCCGGACCGTCAACGAATGGCCCGGTTCAAGACCTCTGGACCGTCAAAGAACGGACCGTCAAAGAGCGGCCAGGGTCCAGACCTCTGAAGTCGACGTTATGAAAAAACAACGACATCGGAGTTCTAGGTGTACCCCCCGAACCCCTCCGTGCAGCCCACCCACCAAGAAGCCCCATCACTCCTCCTCCCAAAAACCCGCCTGAACCTCCCGAAGCCCTCCTCCTCCTCCTCCTCCTCCTCCTCCTCCTCCTCCTCCTTCTCCTCGGCACGACACGGCAGACGCGGTCAGAGGTGCAGTAGACACGACGTAACACAGGCAGAGAGCCCGGGGGGGGAATGAGGGGGGGCGGGCTTTCTCACAGGCTCGAAGTTCCCCGGCCTTCAGAAAAGTTGTCTGAGCCTCCCCCGAAGGCACAGGAAACGCCTGTCAGAAGGCCCCCAGCCTTCTGAGAAGCCCTGCCTTCTTCTGAGAAGGCCTCCTCCTCCTCCTCCTCCTCCTCCTCCTCCTCCTCTTCCTCCTCCTCCCCCCCTCGCTCGCCACCGACAAACACAGGCGGAGAGAGGGGGGAGGAGCGGTGCAACATGAGCTTGTCAGACGAGGAGTCCCAGCACGCTGGTCCCCATTCGCCTCCTTTGGCGCCGACCGCCGAAACTACTGCAAGGACGATCCCCATCCTCCTCTCTCCTCCCCGCCTCTTTTCCCCGAGGCAAGAAAGCTTGGTTAATTTCCAGACGTCATCGCGTGTGCTGTCAACCGCTTTCTTGCGTCAGCTGCTGGGCTGAGGGCGCTCTGCTTCGCGCTTCCATCACAGAGGCTCCCTGACCTCAGAAAAACTCTAGCACAGTGAGGGGCAAGCGTTCAGAATCCCTCTGGCCCTCTAAACTGAGGCGGTTTAGAGCGTTTCCGCTTCCATCGGAGATGATTTACAACAACACATTACCAACACTACTCTCCTCTCTCCTCTCACTCTGTCTGGGTGATGTCCAGCCCTCACCGCGGATCGCTTCTTACAAACAGGATTGGACAAAAGTGATGCTTTTTCGGAGGTTGGGGAGTGAGATCGCAATGGAACGGAGAGCGCCCCACCGGGGAAACGGTTTCGGTTTCGTGTTCGTGTCGTGCGCGCGGGCGAGGCGAAGCTGCGTGGGCCCGCGAGGGGAATGGTGCCGCCGTGGCTAGGGGCTGTGGAGCCGGTTGTCTCCCCCTCTTCCCCCGCGCGCGGTGGCCGGGGGTGTCCCGTCGGTGGCGCGTCGGTGTCCCGTGGGTATCCCGTTCGGTGTCCCGTCGGTGGCTAGGGGCTGTGGAGCGGGCTGTCCGCTCCCACCCCCCTGGCGCGCGGTGGCCGGGGGTGTCCCGTCAGTAGTTCTTTCCCCCCCAGCCTCCTTGTCACCCAAAAGGTGGTCGTACAGGCACGGCGTTATGCAAGTATATTGTTTTCGGTTATAAAAAAATGATGACCCCGCTGCAGCGCGGGCTTCACGTTTGGAACGGCGCTTTGCTGCCGTCGGTCAGAATGGCGTTCTCGCCACAACGCGGGACCCTTTTCTGGATCCGAAGCCTTTCTCATCGTTGTGGCCCCCGTCCTCTCCCCTCCTCCGCCTTCCCCTGGTCCTCCTGCTCCTCTCTCTCCACTCTGGTTCCCGCTAAAGCTGTTCGCTCTCGTCCTCCTACGCTTCCTTCCTTCCTCCTCCTCCTCCTCCTCCTCCTCCTCCTCCTCCTCCTCCTCCTCCTCCTCTCCTCCTCCTCCTCCTCCTCCTCCTCCTCCTCCTCCTCCTCCCCCTCCTCCTCCTCCTCTCCTCCTCCTCCTCCTCCTCCTCCTCCCCCTCCCCCTCCTGCTCAGCTCCCCCCCCTCCCTCCTGCGCAGGACACGAGGTGCTTTTGTTGCTGTTCCTCTCCGCGCGGCCTCCCGGACATTGTGGCCGTGCTGACCTCTCTCGCCGCGGCGGCGCAGCCGTCGGGACCCGCGGCGCTCCGACGGCGGCGAAGAGGGACGAGGGCCCTCTTCGCCGCGGGCGCCGCCCGGCCCCCGCCGGCAGGCGACGGGCCCCGCGGCCGGCGCCCGCGCGGCGCTGTGCGAGGGCGACCCGCACCCCGGCCTCCTTTGCGCGGCGCCAGCCTTGAACGCGCAGTTTTTGCGGCGCCGACCGTGTGGCCAGGGTGTCCCGCTGCAGGGGTCGTTCGGCCGTCCGCGCCAGGGCGCCCAACTCCGCAAAAGAGAATGCGCTGGCACGCAAACGCCTTCATTTTTTGGTCACCCCTGAGCCGCCCCGAAGGCACTTACGAGGACGCTGCGGCGCCTCCCCCCTTTGCCCTCCGGCCGCGGGAGGCCCACCGCCCCGAGGGCGGCGAGGTCCGCCCTGCAGCCGGCGGCGTGCTGGTCGGTGCCGAGGTCGGGGGGGGGGGACGAGAGCGCAGAAGCGCAAAGCCTTTTCGGAGGGCCACCCGGACTGCTTTTGCATCCGCGCGGGGCGCCGGGAGCGCCGCCCGGGGGCCCAGCGCAGGCCCCAGGCACCCAGGGCGGACCTCCGAGGGTTTATGCCTCTGCGGTTCTCTTTCGAGACGTCGCCCACGCCGAGCCCCTCCTGGAGGAACGAGGCGGCGGCGCCCGCCGGGGCGGAGCACCGCAGACTCACGTCGCTGACCATCCCGGCGCGCTCGCCGCTCCGCACGGCGGCGTGCAACGCCTCGTCGCAGCGCCCCGTGGTCGGCGACGGAGCGGATCGTGCCGCGCAGGTCCACGTCCGCCGCGGGCGCGCCGAAGAAGTGGTCGGCGGGCGGGCTGCTCCCGACGGCACGCCGCACGACGGGCGCCGGCGGCCTCCGCGCAGGGCGCGCCTGGCTCGACGTCCCCGGAGAGCGCCCGGCGGCTGCCTGCTCCCTCGCCGCGGTGCAGTGCAGCAGCACCGTGGGGGCCTGCTGCATCCATGCGTCCGGGGCGCTGCTGGGTCTGTTCAGTGACCGTCTGTCCCTCCCATGTCCCGAAGAATCATCTAAGGGGGAAAGCACGATCTCAGAGAGGAGGAGCGCTGGCTCCGATTCAACACTGGCGGTGATCACGAGACTTGCCAGCAACGGTG